TGTGTTCAGAGTTCCAAGCGTTAAATACTTAAATACATTTTTCTATTGATTGAATTATTACAATTTAACTAAACTAACCGTTATAATTATCATTTGAAATAAACGTTTTTGTTATTTCACTCTATTGATAAAGATCATAGGTGTGCCCAGACCTCCTTAGTTGGGAGTTATAAAATTTAAATTTTTTACTTACTACAGCGATCTATAATCTATATCTATATTTCTGATTTATTTTTGTTGTATGAAAATGGAAATGGAATTTTTTCACCCTGCCAAATTAAAGATATTCTTGAAATTTTCTTTTTTATAATTGGTTTTCTGTGCTATTACAACTATGAACTAATAAATAAGGCCTAGTAACTAATGTACTATTTAGTTATTTTTTATAAATATTTTATCAACTATAAATCAACTTTCTCTACACATCTTATTACATTTATTACACATTAAACAGTTATTTATCAGTTTGGTTAAACAAGTAATTTATTAAAATATTACAAATAATAAAATTCAATAAACTTAAAATTTTAATTAACCTTCTACCTAAAATTACCAACCGTTAATGTTTCAGCAACGGATATAGATACTATGTATATATATATATATATAAATATATATCCTTGGTTTCATCATTATAAGTTAAGAGGAAAAAAACGTTGTTGGGGAAGCCGGTGCCCACCCTGCCTCCCCCGTAGACACGCCTATGATAAAGATTATAAACTTTTAAATAGGATTTATATTTGTATTTTATAATTATTAAATTTTACTTAATTTTATATTAAAATTTATATTTGCTTATTTCAAGTTTAATTATACATAGCAGATGTGCAAGAAATAATATTTTTTGATCCTTAAAAATATAGACTGTGGTCGGCAACCGGTGGCCACCGAGTCAGTTCTGGCCCGCGCGTCTATTGTATACAGTTACCATTAAATTCCGAAACAAGGAAATTTAATTAAATATCATATAATTTTTCGTATTTTTGTGAACCCTTTTCAATTTACGAATATGGCCCAAGAATCTAAAAAGGTTACCGACTACTGGACTAAACTCTAATCCGTTCAGATGGAACGACCACAGCGGTTCGAAGAGAAATCTCCTTCCTCAAAAAAACATTTTTTATTTTATGTGTATGAACGTACGAATCAAAATATTTCAGAGGAGCAAAATAAATAAAAAAAAAAAAAACGAGGTTAAAGACGGCGGCGATGACTTTCGCCGACCGCGGCCACTCGACGGGGCGCGACGGGCCAAGGATTTTCCGATGCCTCTTCGCCGCCGGGTAATTATATCATCGACGGATTCTAATCACAGCATTCCTAGCGAGGACGGTTATTATATTACATATATTGTGTGTGAAAATCTCGGCAATGAGTATCGAACAGAAACAATACGAATCGCCGTCTCTGTCTTGCATTTTATAATAAATCGATGGAGTCTCAGAACGATTCGGTAGAAGAATAATGACACGAGTACGAATAAATGGTGCGATAGAAATTTCATGAAAAATATATTATTACAACAGTAGATTCCGAATAATTGAGACATACCGATCTTTTGTTGTTTTATCCCAACAAAGCGGTTGTCCCGATAATACGATTAAATACAAAAAAACAACATAATATTTTTCGAGGGTAAATTACTGATTTAATTATGTACCTGGAAAATTTTTTTTATCATAAATATAATTATAATAATTATAAGTGCATAGTATAAATACAATTAGGTATGTACACTTAAATTAAAATAAATAAATACGTAGCGAAAAATGTCTTTGTTAATTAATTAAAAAGTTCTCCGGTGAAGTATTATCTACATAAATATAATTAATGAATTTCAAGAAATTTTACTAATTTTACGCAAATCAACGATTTTAAAATTGAAGAGTGAACATTGGTTGAACATATCTTATTACGTTGTTTGGCATTACAACGGTTGGTTATTTCAATTTTTATTAATGCTACAAGAATTTTGACGATTATTATATACGACTGTTTCCGATTTTCAATATTTGTTCCTCAAGTTTTATTTATTTAGTTTAAACATTTTAAAATTTAACAAACTTTAAATGTCGATGATTGGAAATTAAAATTAAAAACTTCGAAATGTTGTGTAGTTGATTTCATGTAAATAAAATGAAAAATTCAAATAATTTTTCAGAAGTTTCATTATATTATTGGATAAGCCGGTAGAACTGGTAAAAAGTACATAAAATAAATAATACACTGTCTTTTTTGCATTCGATATCGCGACGATGACTTTCAGTCCCAGCTGAAAGTTAAAAATTTATAATTTAGTTAAAATCAGAAAACTGATTTTACTATTTCCCTGATTTTTATTCGAATTTATCATATTTTTATATTATTTCATATGGAAATGCTGATTTTTTAACTTTTCCTGAACAATATTTAAATTTAGACGGAAATATTGAATTATTTGTAAGTAAATGTTATGATCTATACTAATATAATAATACAATATACTTTCTTTGACAGCTCGTTGTTGATAAAACTAGAAAATGGTAATGAATTCAATAATCCAACTGCTTCAAGTTTAATAACTGACAAAACAAAAAACTGATCTGTGTTATTATCCTTAACACTATAAAAGATGAATTCTGACGTTCTAGATGTAGGAATATTTTAATCTACAATATAGTCATTTAATGAGTATTATAGTAATATTTTGTTCTTTTACGTTGCTTCCCGTGTTCGCTAAGATTTCTCTTACTTATTGTACACAATAATGTGATAACAACCTCTTTTTTTTTTTTTAATTGTATTCGTCTTGACTAGTACCAATTTTTATTTTTTAATATTTGAAAATTGTTTCTAATCAATTATTATTATCTTTACCCATATTAGATGCCTACGTTTTCAGTGGGTCAATATATTTACATAAATAATGCATATGGAATTTAAACAACAAATCTTACGCTTATATTTATAAATACCTCGCTCGTATAAACTGTGGTATGATGGTGTCATGGGTTGACGGCGGATATGCGAATAATCTGCAAATATACATGCAAATGATCGAGACAGCATCGTTCACTGGCTCCATGGTATAACGGCATTTACCGGTTTTCCACGTACACATATATACACATATTTTTGCAGTTCATCACGTTGACTAACGAACCCGTTACGGAACCGTTATTCCTAAAAATCTTAAAAATGGTATCACTAAATGACCGTATCTACCACTGACTATAACGTATGGTACCACCATTGCACGCAAACGGTGACCCATTCAAATCTCGTGTTATCACGTATCGTATTTATTTTTCTCTTAAGTCTGTTTATGGATACGAGGCGACTTTCCCACTCCCGCAACATCGGTCTATGATAAGATTTATAATTCAAGCGATGCCGAATCATATTTAATCTCTTCGCGTTCTAATGCTTAAATGTAGCACACGTATTATTTTATTTATATGTCATTTGTTAGAACTGGTCTTAAGTAGCTCATCTAGATAGTACTTTAACAGTTTTTTCTCGCGTAGTGATTTAAACTTAAAACGGATGTCCCGGTAAAAAGAACACCGACCATCCAATCGTTGATTTCCATGAATATTTATACAGTAGTCATTCGATGGTTTGAAATTCAGGGGTTCAACTAAAAAATCGATTCATAAAGGTTTTCGGTTTATCGAGTGCTCGAATAATCGAGGGGGGGGGAAGTGAGTTCGAATTAAAGAGAGGTGAAAAATTATATGTATGATATTTATATTGACATGTATTAATTATATTATTATATGTTACATATTAAAGAAATCTGTTATTTTGTTTTGTGATAAATTGTTGGCCACAGTCTGGTCCATAGCGTTATCTAAAGCTTTATGATATAAAAGCTATGACCGCTATTTTTAATTTAAAAAAAAAATTACGTTAACATTATATCGTTGACTACTGATTTACTACTAATCTGCCGGTCTTATTAAAATATGAATGCGACGTCAATGGTACTGCCGATTAACGTAGCGCCTACATACGTTGATGGTGGTGTAGTACATTATTGTACGATGTATTGCGTTATTGTTTGCCGTGAATTCAATCGAATTATAATTGCTTTATTTATTTGACACCAACGATGAAAACATGTTCTGTTTGACGGAAATCAAATTTAAAAGAACACGTTAAATTTAGGATCGTTTTAAAAAAATGTCATATATTACTGTTATATGCCATATATTACTATTACCAATATTGAGGACAACGATAATCACTGTACAGAACACGATACATTATACGCTATACGCAGTAAATACAACACGTGTATAGTATATTATGTGATAAGTAAAAGTATATGATTTACGTCTTAAATATTTTGAAGTACAATTTGTGAAGGGAATAATACATTTCAAGTCTTCAGCGCATTTCGTATAATTTCGCCAATGCTTGCGTACAAATCGTAGTCTCGGATAAAAATAAAATATTTCATTATGCGCATCAATATTACACTGGACCATAAAACTGTTAAACAACCTTCTATGATTTAAGATTGTCGTTGCATAGCGTTTAAACTGACAATAACAATGTAATCATACATTGTACAGATAGTAGACTCGTTGTATAAAAACACAATAATATAGACTATATTAAATATTAAATTATCCTTACAGTAATTATTTTATATTAATAATAATAATAATTTATATGGATAAAATGTAAATAACAATACATTATAGAAGTATTTTAAGATGTGAGTTTACTCAGCAGCCATGTACTTGTATAATTGGTTCGTCATTTTATTGCATATTTTATTCAAAATTTGATTAAAATATAACAAAATATTTTCATTTCAGAAGATCTAATGAAAAAAAAAGTACTTAACAAATCTATTAGAAACTTTTTATCATTTAATATTTGAGGATTCAATATATAATTGGTATATACTCAAAACTTAGAACAAAAAAATTTATATTTATATTATGTACATTAAATTTATGACACATGTTTATTAAATTATATTTTAGTATAGGTTATATTTTAATACAATATGATTCAATTCTATTATATTATTTCCATTTAAACTTAATATAAAATATTATTTTATAGCAACACGAACGATTATGTTTCAAATAAGTATACAAATTTGTGAATTTTTACGAAAATTACGTTTTTTTTTTACATTATAAATATTATCCCATTAAATCTAAACATAGTACGGATCTGAATACTTCTGCCTATATGTATGTCACAATCTCAACTACGGTACTGTCACGTTTCCAAAACTATTAAAATTCAAAACATTGAAATAAAACCGTCATTCAAATTCATTTAGAAACTATATCGTTAAAGTACACATTTATACCCTAAATATCTTTGATACCGTGATCGTACAATATTATAAACTACTTATTGTAAGTACATGTCATATTATGTGGTAGAAAAAATAAATAAAAATAAAACACTAAAAATTACAATCGCTCTTCCTTGCGTGTGCAGCAGGTGGTAGACCCAATGCCCATGACCAAGGACGTCGGGACGAACTTTGACGCATAAATTGAAAAATTTTAATTTTGAAAAATATTAAGATCCATGGTTTTGATTTTAGTCTACTGTTGCCTACTGTTTTTGAGTAATTTCACAAGACCGTTTGATCAATAGTCATCACCGTCCCCGTGACGACCTTGGGGAAGTGGATCATCACGTTGTTGTTTTCTCCTGTTGTTGTAGTTTTTGTTGAAATAAGAGGTGTAGTAGGGTCGGTTAGCATACGAAGACGTTGATGCCGGTACCCGAGTTGGCCTGTTAGCGGAGGAATAGTAATACTGCTGCTGCTGCTGCTGTTGCGAAATCCCAGAGGTTTGCTGCTGACCGTTGTAGTACTGCTGAATGCGTTCGCGGGTCCTTCGCACAATTGGCCGAGCGGTCTTGATCAGTGTCCCGACGGCGTTCAACGTCCCGATGGGAATCTACACAAATTTAATAAATTATTACTAATAATTATCTATTGGTGCACATAAGCGGACTTATTAAGATCAATACGGTCACTGAGAATATGTTAATCATGTGTATATTATTTGACACTGTCGTTGAACGTCAGCAAGGAATCAGCTACACAATTGGAGGGGGGGGAGGGAACAGAGTACTGGGTACATGGGTAGATACTAGAAGGAGGACACTGAGGGTAATTGCCATCCCCGCCGACAAAAAATAATATTAAAAATAAAGTACATTTAGAAGAACTAAATAATATATTATAAAAATAAACGTTGACAGTTTTAGAACAGATTTAAGCTCTCCCCCTCCCTGCAATACACCCCTACATACTCCTATAATCAGTTACATAAAGTCCTGTAAAGTGCCCTGATTGTAAATAGATGGATCTACCTTTGACGGCATGCGAGTATTATATTTCACAGAATACTATAATTGCCATTTCATTGATGTATCGTGATCTCACTTAAAAATACGAAAAGTAGTTTAAACATTTTAGTCAAAATTTGTTTTACAACTAATAAGAATGAAACAATATTTTACATCTGTAATAAATAATTTTTGACCTAAAAATATATATTATTATTTGTTATTTTTTTTTTTTTTTTTTTTATGAACTGATTATTATGATCTTATATGATTCAAAATATGAAAATGTTGCCCAAGAAATTATAAGAATTATTTTAACATCAAATGTAATTTAATCAATAAAATGTAAAAGCGAAAATAAACGAGTATTAACTCCTTTATAAAATGAAAAATTGATTATAAAATGTAGACGTATTATATGAGTCTATCGTAGAACAAATACTACTATAGTCGATACCTTGAATCTCGAAAACTCGAAATCCTCAATAACTTTAATTTAATTTCTGATCACTTAAATTTAATTTTAAGTATTAATGATAGTTAATTACTTGAATGTATTGGCTTTTGATCGACAAAATTGACAAAATTAAGTTATTAAAATGTAATTACATTTAATAAAAGCTGTACATGTAAATAAATTTACTTTTTTTTTTAGATTAATATTATAGATTACAACATACCTACACATATTAGTTTAACATTTATATGGGAAAATAAATATTTTTTTTTTTTTTAAAAAAAAAGTATCTAACGAAAATGTTATCTTGTAATAACTTAATATAACGAGTGGAAAAAAAAATCGTCAATTTATCTATCCTTGCATTATCATATTTAGTACGCATTATGACATTGATCTTTTAGGCAAAATTAAATTCGGTTAGAATAGGACAGAATCGTTTTTTATATATAATGAATTATCATTGAATTAAAATTTAACACATCCATTAAATAATACCTATAATACAACAGAGTGGTAGTATTATTATCATTTATATTATTTTTGTACTTAATTATTTAATATCACTTTTACTCTCACATATTATTTGTTTTTTATGTTACTAAAACTTCATTTACATTATAGTTATAAATTTTTATAATTAATTAATTATTCTCATTATAAATAAATCCTGAGATAAATTGAATAACTTTGAAACAATAAAGAAACTCATTGAATTATTTAAATTTTAAATCATTCTTGTTTACATGTTTAATTTAATGAATCATGTTACATAGTTGTTGTTCATAGTTTATTCGAAAATCATCATTATAAATGTGAGAACTAAGTACTGATGATCACTATCGATTCGGTATACCTAATTATAAAGTATACATCAAAACACAAAAATACGTGAATAATTACACATGTTAATGGATTTTTCAAGTACAAGATATTTTTTCCCCAATGTTAATTTCGCGTCAATACCTAAAAGTACATACACGTGAAAAAGGAAGATATGTTTTATACTTAATGAACAATTATTATCGATTTAGAAAAAAAGTTCATGAAGCATTTGCCCTTCTACAATATTAGTATTCGGTACGCATATCTAGTGAGAGAGTGGGAGAGAGAAATTGATCGAAAAATTTCTATTATACATTATTATATTATATCGTTGCGAAACAAGGACGTTCTATACCGTCTTCTGTCGCATTACACGACGATACGTGTTACTTTTAAACACGTAACGAAATCGTTTGCGTAAAAATCAAAGCCCTTCTTGAAATCGAACACATAACTATCAGTTGTCCCGAATTTCGCAACATCTCTTCGTCTCCTTAACAATCCGTTAATTTTACGATTTTTTTTTTTTAACTAAATGATTCGGACATGAAAACTGTAATAATACTTGTACCTAAATAAAATATGGGTACTTTTCCGTTATCCCGATTACCGCGAGTCTGAATTCCATTTCTTCGACTGTCTTTCTTTAAGTCTCGACCAACATGAATTTGTCGTTTATACAGTTAATACAATGTATACTGTAGTATAACGTATATTATCATATAAATTATCACAGGAGTGGAGAGTCTTTACAATATATATAAAACATAAAATTATTATCTACAAACATTATAATTTTTCCCGACTTTTTTTTTTTATGACCATTTTTACACTGACGGTGACTTGGAAGTAAACCGTGAAATAATTCAACGATGGCATCTTTTTCGCTATTCGATGAACTCCAAAGATTCATAATTATAAATAATAAATTTGAACGTCAGTCAAAGACTACTAATATTATCGTGCCGATGACGGAGATAGACTGATATGCGCAGTCCAGATAACGAAATCAGACCAGCGGTAGTCGGGTTAACAGAAAAGTACCGGAATATGTTTTTTTTTTATCTGTTTGTTCCGTAAAATCGTATTAATTGTTCTTTGTGGAGACCAAAAACCGATGGGATTGAACCCTTAACATAGTCATTATTTAGAAAAGCAAAATAAACAAAAGTGTTTGCGAGTCACGAGACGCACCTGAAATATGCTGTCGATCACTTGGTTGCCCTCCTCGAGCGGCGGCAGCTGTCTCCTGATCCTGACGCCGCGGACTCCGGTCGAAGAGGATGGCGCGTAGAGGTCGGCTAGCGGTTCGGCCGCCACCAGAGCGACGGTGGACAGCGCGACGAACAAGCGCACGGACACCATGACGTCGCGAGCGCACGACGGTGACGGTAGTGGTGACGGTGGTGTCGCGAGCTGCACTCGGGGAACCTAAGATCGAGGTACTCGTGGTGCGGCTCCGATGTCGGCTAGGGCGTCGTCGCGGAGATGTCTGCGCGCATAATGACCGCGTCGTCGCGGTCCGCAGGCACGTTGTTCGCCGCAGCCTCGACCCACTCGAGTCGTTGCGATGACCCACACGGTCGCGCGGGACACCGGTGGCGAGCAGCGGGTGGGGGACGCGAGATGAGGCGCGCGGGAAAAATAAAAACCCACACGGCGGTATCGTTCTCGACCCGGTTGCGTAACCCGCGCGTAGGCGAAGGTTGCTCAACGGCACCGGGTTATCCAACGACACGCCGTGGGACGAGATAACCGTTGTTTTCGTTGCGTCGCGCCCGCGCGTACCGGGGACCGAGGACGGCGCCGAAACCCATCCCCGGCTAAACCAACAGTGAGACGCGTCGCGACTGACGGGACCGGGTCCTGCAGGACGAGCGGAAATGGCGCCGGTACCACTCAGGTCCGACGGTGAAATATCGACAGTACCGTTGGCGTGTTGTTACGGACGCGCGTTAATGTGGGCCCTGACGATTACCATTACACAGCAGTGGGGACGGCACATAAAATATAATGATTAGAATGATTCTTATTGTAATCATTATACGTAGTCACCGTTAAAATAATGACTAAAATAATACGCAAACACAAATCGCACAGGATGATCTATCATCGACGTAAGACATGCGATGGTTTACGAAAGGCGGAAATCGTGATGTCGACCGTTCAGTAATGATGGACAGTCCCGGGCTGAGCGCGCAGTTATAGTTAAAACACAAGTCACAAATATGAAATTGCGTATCACTAGTAAAATTCTGAAGTATGTGTAAATACTGAATTGACAGTGATGAGAAAACAACAAAAAGGAGTTCACATGAGATCGGGGTATAAAAGGGCGTTCCGAACAGACCCATATTTAGATGTGTTTCAGTCCGGTCTTAGAAAGCACCTTTCCGCCAGTTTACTTACTCAATGTATTAATGTTTTGAACTTTGAATATTTTTTAATAAATAGTTTTTCATATAAAGTTGAGTTATATTTGAAACACCCTTCTCACTCTTTCCAACACAAGAACCATTGAATTGGTATGCACGATCGCTGACCGATACGGCTCTTCTCTGTAAAATACATTAACTGTAAAAACGGTATCACACGTCCCACTGCATGAAAGAAATTACTGTTGTTATACAGTTACTGCGGTTGGCCCGAACAGTAAATTTTCTGATCGAACCCTTTCCGATAGGACGACCGGTCGAGAGGACTAAGCGATAAGGAGTAGTAACTACTAGTCGACAATACAAAACTACATTCCGCATATATATATTAATTAAATATTTTACTCTCAGAATAATAATTGATATAATATAGTTGTTGTTATTTAATCTGGTAAAAGTTCGATTAAGTGATTCTTCTTTTTTTTATATGTATATTATTAGTTTAAAATTCAGCATTTATTTAATTTCTTTTCGGAGGTCTCTTATTATGAAAAGAACGTTACGGTTTTCGACAGTAAAACCACGGATACGCAAAATTACATCAAGAATAGGCATTAACAAGTGGTTTAAAACTTATAATGGAACACCTACGGAAATAATGAAAGTAAATATTTGAAAGATAAGTTTTTTGATATATTAATAATTATTAAAAATAAGGAAATAAAATATTTTGAAAAGCGTAAAAAAAACTTTTCCTAATTCTGACAATGTGACGATGACCGCTGTACGATTGACTTTGACTGACGATAACCGACCCTGGGATTTCAAAAGGGTAGAGAAGTCGTGCGTGCACTGTGATTTTCTTATTGGAGAAACGACTTTTAACGTTATTAACATATACTACACCAATATTATCTTATATTAAATATTTAAATAAATTATTTTCATTGACTCACACAACTTTTCACAAATCTGAGTGAATGACGGTCGATCAATGTACGAGTTCAGTCACTTCCGTAATTTCCACGTGGAAACGGAAAATCAGACAAGCTTTTCAGTCGGCCAAGTTTTAATATTGAGATGACCCAAAGCTTTACTCGTGTATCGCTTTCCAAAAAGTAAATCCAGCAGTATGAAATCAAAGAGTTCATGTTTTTTTATACTGCTTGTCGACTGTTTACAGCAGCGTTTCTCATCATTTCCTCATTCGCGTACTCATTGAAATCTCGCCATTGCTTTACGTACACCAACTGTCAATTTGTCTATTTTCACATAGGATTGACGAGAAATTATAAAATTAATTTTATTAGACAACAAAATAGATGATAATTAAGTTATTTTTATTTTAATAAGTTTGCGCTATATAATGTATATAAACAAATAATAGACATTTAACAATTTCAATTTAAATTTATTCTGGGGGTTTTTTAGAAACACTTAATTATTGAAATCTGGTTCTACAGATAATGAGTAGACTCATAAGTCTGAACTCACATAAAATGTATTACGATACTTATTTTTAATGTGCGTGAAAGACAATAAAGCCCTTTTCACAAACATAGTGATCACTATCAAACGTTTCATAAATAATTTACTTATTCGAATACATCCATTTTTACATTTTTCGCCAGTACCCTTTTTTTTCTCGAGTAGGTACTTTCTCGTATCTTTTCGTGTACCATCAGCGGTACGCGTATCCTCGATTGAGAAACGCTGGTTTACAGTATTTCACGACTATCGCATATACCTACTTATCAGCTAACACCTGAAATGATCTGAAATTTCATGTGTCTCGAAACAAGAATGTTTTTTTTTTTTCAATACTTCACTCAATTAAAATTTATTAATTACTCCACGGGTCTCATTTAAGAAAATAAAATAATAATGATCACATGCCTCGATTAATGAGCAGATAAAACTGCTCATTTTTTTGTCGTAATTTAATTTGTTTTATTTGTTTCTTATATACAATATAAATGTATTAGGAGTATGATATTGATATAAATCAAATGTTAAAAATGTCCATATAAAATAGATCTTTCAACTTAGCCGATAATCTCCAACGTTTAATAGTACATTCAAATTATACAATTTAATAACTAAATCAATAATGTTAGAACAGGTCAAAATAAAAATGTTTGTTTTAAAAAAGTCAATGTTCATATCTGCTGTTTTACTCATAGACTATCTGGAACAATATTGATAAATCAACTTAAAAAAAAAAATATGTTGTTCTGTTTGTCGTGTCTATTTATTTGATGTGTTGGATATAAAACAATAATTGTTAATAAATTATTTAACATTATGTTTATCGTTCAAAAAGCGTAGATAGACGTACGATGTATACGACAATATTGCGCGAAGAAATAGCATGTGTTGTATCCATTTGTATATTGTATTCGTCCTATTGTAGTTGACGTGTGTCGTATGAGATATTTTCGCGTATTTGTTTTCTATATTCTCCGCTACTACTTCACCAGTGGATAAATGTCTTATTTTTCTCGGTAATGCAGTGTTATCTGTGGATTACAAACATTTTATTTTTTTACCCCATAGAGTTCTACGGATCGACTTGTTTTGCATAAATTCAAATAGAAGCGTTAATTTTAATTATTGTTCTCACACCGACTTCACAATACAATGTAGATGTCTCACGAAATTTCCAGGTTACTATTACGTCAGTTACGATCTAGGTTGATGTTCCCGAATCCCATGTAATAAGACAAGGTAAATCACGTAATCATGTGTTTACGTTCACGTAATAAGGAGTAAAAGAATAGGCTATACATTTATTTGGGAATCAATTATTTCCGAACAACTTCTATAAAACATGTAAACAATTTACGAGTATATTAAATAGTATCGTTATATAATTAAACTTGATAGAGATTTAATTTCTAACGAACAAAAAAAAAATCAAATTCTGTTAACAATATTATCATTTTATTTTCATTTCACTGATTCAGTAGAGTAATTCAAAATGCAGTTAGGTATTCAAAATATAAATTAACTCAACTGTTTACGTGTGGTAATTGTGTAATGTGTACACATGATTCCGCTTAATGGTAACCACTTGTTAATACGTCCAAATCGGTCCAGTCCGTATTCTAATGCGTATATACGTATAACGTTTAACTTAGGTTACCAAACGGTTTATATCTTATAAACACTTATTATAAGCTATATATCAAGCGAATGGTTTCATTGATAACGAGCAGTAGTGTTTGCGATGCCACTGGCATTTTGTTAATTTTAAGGAAGAAAGACACGATATAAAATTTAATCGTCTGCATTGTAAAATATTATTTAATACGAATAATATATTTTATTTAGCTATATGTTTTCTTTTAGATTTTACGTTGTACATGTTACATACGAGTACATTGCATTTTTTTTTTTTTTTTAATTTCGTTTTTTATGGGCAATCACCTCTAATGTGGGTACATGTAAATTAAACTGCAGGTGTTAACATGCCCAGATTAAGTAGAACCCATTGTAATATTAACTATTGTATAACTTCTATAGTTTAAAAAATACGAAATACACACAATCCGTTTCGACAGTTTGACTTGGATTTCCTGAAATCTGTATTGAACGCAAAATCAATTCGTATCCCATAATTAACGTGCGCTGGTGTGCATATTACAACGAATTTACCGCTGTTTTCTTCTTTCTTCTCAGGTAGTTAGTATGATATTGGTTTACGAGTGTCGGAGAACTTAAATTTACTGAATATATAATATTTACATAAATACACAATATAATCGTCGTATCGGACATGTGTCTGGTCGTTTTACCAAATAAATGACGTACAATACACAGGCATTATTCCGATTTAAGACACCGCGATACGTGTCAATAACATTGTAACATTATGTCATAAAATATTGCATTGTCCGTTACTCTGTCTAGTATAACATAACCACGCTTTATGCATTAAATTGATGTAGCAGTGGCAACCGCAGTGCAGACCGACGATAAATCCGTAACGGTTAACACGGTTTTCATAATATGCCATTCATAGCAGGAAAAAACAATGATACTCACGTTAAGAGATGACAAAATCAAGTCTAATAGATTTATAATCATTTATTTATGGCATACAAATGTATATATTTGTGAGTGTGTGTGTGTGTGTGTGTGTGTGTGTGTGTGTGTGTGTGTTGATGTGTGTATGTGTATCGAATAAATAATTGAGCGATGCTTGTAGTTGTACAATGCGCGAAAAAAATGATGAAAAAAAAATCTATTGACATTTTAATATATGCGCGTGAAATGCGTTACACATAAAATAAAATTATGATAATATACACGCTTAGACTAAGATTACATTATGGCGAAACAGAACTACCTACTCAAAATCCTCTGACCAGTGGCCTTACATTAAAATTACATGAACATAAATTGTTCGCACACCATTCGTACATAACTAATATTTTCTATATACTAATTAGAGTAACAATTTGACTAACTGATAAACATTGACGTATGATGATAGATTACAATAATAACAATAATAATATATGGCTGCAAACGTATATAATATAGACGATGACTCTGTACATTTGATGTTATGATGTAGACTCGTGTGACCAACTACGATAATATTTTGTTGTATTCCCTCAATCTATTCGTTTTTATAACTCGAATGTATCATAGTTTGCTTTGGCCGTTACAACGAAGCATCGTCAACGGTCATCGCTTAGTGGAGTTCGTGGATTCCCCGTTAACCGGTCCCCGGGTAAATATGTTGGACGGCCTGAAACTCTGTCCAATGGAACCCATCAGTTCGAAGGCGAAATCACGGACGTTGCCCGGCGAATTCTGTAACGGAAGAAAAACAATTAGAAACAAAATATTAAATATTAAACTATTCTAATTAGGTACGGTAATATGTAATTTTTTATGAGTAAATTATTGTTTACAGTACATAATAGTTAAATCTCGAAAGTACAATTATTGAAAAAAATCTTATGAAATTTATTCCGACTATCGAAATCTTAAAAATCTAAAGCGATTTGTATTATTCTTATTAAAAATTTTATTTTTATCGGACAACTTATTAGTTATTTTAGATAATACATCATTATGAACAATAGTGAACCACTTTTAGTACACTTTAACTTATTCTAAATTTAAGAAAAATAGGCAAATTTAATACAAATTTGGTTTATGTGACAGTAAAGCCCACTCGGTAATTTTGTTTTGCATGGATTATGTTGTTAACGAAACATATAAAAAATAATTTTGATCATTATACTATTATTTTCGTACTTGAGTAATTACTTATGTTTCAAAACAATTACTTAGAAAGTTAATTAGTAATTTCGTAACATTAAAAACTATAAGTGTGTTATGCAAAATCGTGATGAATCATTGTTATAAAAATGTTTGACCGAAAATGTCCAAAATAGTATTAAATATGTATTAGATATGTGGTGTACCGTAGGTCATATTGATGTTATACGTTTAAAGAGAAAGTTGATTTTATTTGTACATGTGTTACGTTATGTAAATATATTTAAATGTAATGCTTTCATTTAGAGTTATAATTACAATATATTCACTGCGACATTTAATAATTATTTTTAAATTCATATAAGTACTTGAATGTTTGTAGAATAACACGTCCTACACGTATACAATATGAATTGAGGTAAGTATGTGTGTAGGAGAACAATTATTGTTTTAAAAGATTTGTGTCAAAATATTTAGGCATTGTACTGCATGAATATTACAAATTGAAAATAATTAATTGTTATTATAACGTATACATTTTCCGCAGAACCTTAAATGCACGAAAAAATTAACATGCTATCCAGTTCTCGTAATATACATTTAAATTATTGATATGATGTCTCATTAAGATAACTTTGCGGGATTTTATTTATTAGATAATAGTTATCTATCAAGATTTAAGAAATTTAAATCCTAAAAGTTTTCATAATTTGAAACTTTATCGTTTTATACAGTGATGAGTGATGATCAACTATTTTTTTTCCCAAGGGCCATTAAAAAAAAAAAACCTAATCAGGTCAAGAACTTAACATTTTTCTTTTAGGTTGATAGATTATATTTTATTGTAAGTACATTGATAAATTTATTTAATATTGATATTGTATAATATTTTATTGTGTTACTCGTAAAAGGATTTTCAAATAAATGGATAATGTTTTAATTTGCTCGAATGTCTTTAAAACTCTTTTAAATTTCGTTTGTGAATTTGTTGATAATGCTGATGCACCACTGTTTTGAAAGTACACCACAATCTTATTTTTTTTTATTTATTTTTTTTTTTTTTGAAGTAGCATAACATTCAAAATCGAAAAAATTAAATTTTCCAATTTGATTTGATACTTTAGCCGACCGGTTAATATATTATCACGGGCTATTTTTGGTTCAGGGGCTGTTGTTAGTCACTTCTAGTTTAATACAATATACATGGGAAAATATTGTTTTAACTAACAGTGTGCCTAATCAAAAACTAAGGTATCTAGTTATCATGAATAACTACAATAATTCAATTGTATATTATTATACAATTTGTATATTACGTATAGAAATTTATAAGTTTGTAATATTGATGAATTTAACTTTTGACTTTCTGACCACAAGTTATGTATGCTAACACATTATTTAAAATAAAAATGAGCAAACACAATACCCAAGTTAAAACGATTAATTGCACAAAATATGCATAATATTGTCGCGGGATGAACTTAGGAATATACGGCGCGTATCATAGACAAACACTGTTACACAGCGGTTGGTGAAATCACGTCAGAACGAGTCATGTCGGAAGTGTTGGGCGTAAATGAAAAAAACGGATATTTTTCTAATTTCAATTCAGACCTCTGATACCGCGTCCATAGAACGCTAGTATTCAACACATGTACATTTTTACCACAACAAGGCCGATAAGATAATACAAGGTTCAGAATATAATCGAATATCTTCAGGCTAATATGGTCCGTGTTAAGTTTGATAAAATAAGCAGTATTTGCGTGTTATCAACAACGGAAAGCTCAACGCAGTGTTACGTCCATGCAGATCTTATCGCATTACGAATTCGGAGAAGAGAAAATCAGTAGAAAACCGTGATCTCCGCGTTTTTCGATTACATCGGGAGCTTTCGGAGCATTTCCGGACACTATTTTTCTTTCGGAATGAATCGCGTGAACTCGTACCGTACCGGTGCAGTACAACAGTCATCGTAACACGACGCGTACACTCGTCGTTCTAAGGCTCGATACCGTATGCATTTAAAGGCCTACGCAAACCGGAGAAGGTAAAAAAAAAGCCCCGTCGACGTTGTTTCCCGGAGGGATCGTATGTTAAGGTTGACCGTGCGCGAGGTCCGTCGAAAGTCCGGTTTCAACGGACCGTGTTAATGTTCGCGTACCACGTTGTTTCCGATAAAAGGTTCGGTCGGTTAGTCCCGCGGCGTGTAAAAACCATGCGCGACACATATGGATTGCACGTTCGGCCGATTTTAGCTGGTCGACGATTTTATAACGGACGCGTACGGCTCCCCGGGCCCCCGGCACCGTCGCGATGGTTACGAAATTTATTTAAATTTATTATTTCTTCTTCTTCTTCTCCACCCTTAGTCACGGAATTTAAGACCATACTGCTAAAGTTATACTCCGCCACCGATCCCTGACCTCCGGTGCTTCTCTCCAATCGGTACTAGGCTCCATTCTTTCCACTTCTCTCTTCACACCGTCTTCCCATCTCAGCTTAGATCTACCTAACGGTCTTTTCTCCATAGGGAATCACTTCAATCACCCGTTTTCTTTTTAAATTTATTGTTCCTTTTTTATTAAATCAATTTACGTTCCCAGATGTTACGCGCGCATCGGGTTCGTGTTACAACGTTACAATGTTCAAACGCCACAGACCTTGATGGCGGACCGGAGCTCGGAGTTGAACAGCCTGCGCAGACCGCGGTAGTTGCGTCCGAGCAGCTTGCCCAGCGTTTGGCCGGCCACCCGTTGGTCCACCGGCGGGGCCGCGGACGATGCGCCCGTCTCGTTCTCCACGGTGTTGCCCGCGGCCATCATCATCTGGTCGCCGTCGTTGTTGGCCGGCTGCTGCTGGATCGCGGCCACCTCGCTAATAGTGTCCCGGACGATGTTCGTCACGTTCCGATACGCTTGCCGGGCGTCCGAAACGGTCTGCAAAACAAAACACACGCACGTGAATCGTGTTCGTTGTCGAGGACGCGTTTTTATTTTTTCGTGCGTTATGCGCTCGCAGATCCAAGGAGGGGGGTTAAGCCCTCCCATTTGAGCGTGTTGTATATCATATAAGTATGTTGTAAATACTGAAAAGATATGTTTACACATTTAATATGTAAGTATAATTATTGTTCGAGCAACAACTGCTATTCGATATCGGCGGCCAATAAGTGGCACCGATATAGCTACCCGCTACTTCAATACTGGTTCTGTGTCATTACCGATATAAAAAAATAAAATAAAAAACGAAATCAAAAGCCGTCCGTTCGACTCTATGGATTTTTTTGCGCGCGCGAAACGACCGGAAGACTTCGACGCGTCCGGGCCCGGGAAACCGTTTCCGGCTCTTGCCGCGAGCGCTCAACTTTGGCGGTTCCGCGGGCGTGGGCGTAATGTTTTCCGACGGAAAGCGATACGAATTTAAAAAAAAAAAAACTACCTCCGATCGATTTCAGAACCGTTAAATATACTATCGTGTGGATCGAGTAATACGCGCACGGCTTGGTCGTACGCGATAACGGTCTTGTTTTTTATTTTTTTTTCACTTTTACGGATTGTTTCGCGCGCGCTCAGAACCTCATCAGACCGGAAATCGAACGCAGATAACCGCATTTGATAGCGCTAATTTTTTATTTATTTACTTTATTTCCCCAGTAGTTTCTCCGAGAAAAAGAAAAACGCTACGGAACGCGTTGAATATCTCTCTTGCGAACCAACGTACGGTAATTATTTTTTCCGTTCGTTGTACATCTCGTGAACACTTGGAATCGTATAACAGAAAAACACGTATATTATCGTTTTTACCACACCTCGCAATGACATCAGATCTGTTCTCGAAAGTTTTTAACATCGGTAAAGTCACGCGGTCCGTACCGAATTATTTTCATTTGTGTACATTAAAGCCCCGCATGGGTCGACCAGAACCGTATATTTATCATAAGTGTACGTGTCCGAGTGAGCTTTGCTTTTTAATTTTAGATGGACTCGGAAATCAGAATATAGAATAATGTTGTGCTTTAATTGGTCGAACATTTTAGAACAGAATAGATACGGAATGGGTCGGGCCCGTGTTCTATAAATTGTTTTAAAATTTTTTTGTCTGTCAACGACTAAAAATGAAAAAGAAATTTAATAAATATGTACAATATAAATGTTTTTATTTACAAAATAATGAATGTTAAAAAATTTAATATGATATAAGCAATCAATATATAGGTATATATTATTTAAAGGGCCTTCGCTGAGCTGGGTTGGGCTTTCGTTGGGCCGGACTGGGTTGGTTGGGTTAGAGTTAGTTAGTAGTGTTGGTTAGGTTATTAGAATAGTCTAGACTGGGTGGGCTTCATTGTACAATTTTAACTCTAGGAGGGATAGGGTTTCATAGATCAGAACGGTGTGGAGGGCTCTAACGAACCGAGATTTCATTTCAGAATATGGACCGGGCTGGACTTAAAAAAAACCCGGTCCATGCAAAGCTCTAGTGTACATACTAAATATAAATAAACAACGAAATACGTATGAGATATTCTAGTGAGTCACGAATGAAAGAAAAAAATGTTAAATTGGGCCATACCAATTAGTACGTTGGTATGTACGGTATTTGATTGTTATGTAATTACGAAATTTTACCGCAAAACGGTCGACGGCGAAAAAACCCCGAAGGTTGAAACCGTAACACAATTAAAAAAATTGAAATATTCACACGCGAGATATGAGAACTTTACTTGTGTAATATAACTATTTTTTTTTTTTTTTTTTACTAACGTTTGTATGACATAATATCTACTCGTAAGTTGTACATAATAGTAAAACAATACCAGTTATGAAAAAAATTAGAAATGTTACATTTTTCGATACATAATGGTGTAGTTTTAAAAGTTACGTCATTATTTGACAAGTAAAGCTCTCGTCTCTTTTGAGTGATAAATTAATTCCTTATAGAGTATATTGCAATCATGCGAATTCCAGTTTCATTTTCGATGTGAAATCGTTTTCCATTTTCTACAAAAAAACGAATGTAATGAAATTGTATTTGACAAACTAGTATACCGTCAACAATAAAAATAATTTTTGTTCATCGAAATGCACTTTTATCAAACATTTTTTTTAAAAAAAAATTATTTCGTTCAAACAATCTTATTAACTTTCAAACGTCGGAAAGTCCACACCCGGATGACGCGTTGTCTCCGTCTCACATACGTTCAACATAGCAAACCATCGTTCTGCGGAACCAATCTCGTGCCGTTAGCTTCAATTTAAAGTAAACTGACTTCGTATTATACTTGAAGGGATAAACATTATCTATGTTGGTACACGTACCCAAAAGTACGTAAAATATTACAAAAATTAAAAAAACTCACGACTAGAGCGTAACATTTACGGTATCGTAAGATAATGGTTCTCAAACTGTGCTCCGTGAAGCTCTACGAGAAAAACCTAGGGACCCGTGGCTCCATGGGTATATCTGAATCAATTAAATCCAAGTAATATAATATTTCTTAGTTGTCAAAGAAATATCACTGGTACAATTACTTGAATTTCGCAATGAACAGTACGTTGTTTTCACTGAACACCCCCATTTAATTAAAAACTCAGATTTACTGATAAAATTTATTGATTTTGACTACATTACTTGGCCGATATTTTCACAAAATTACAACGCAAGGTACAATGAACACAGTTTTCACGGCAAACGAAAAAATCCGAGTTTAAAAAAATTAAATTTTGGATTGTCCAACGTAAAATTGATAGTTTCGCCTCGTCCAAGGAACGTTTAGAATCGATTAATGATGACGATTGACGAATTTAACGAAACAATATAGTATATCGTTTATCGTGTACCTATTATTGTTTAGAATAATAGATTAGCAAATAACAAATAGACAATCCGGACGATTCGGTGCTCCGTAGTTTTTATTAGGTATATAAGGGCTCCGCAAACAGAAAAAGTTTGAGAACCGATGTTCACGGACAATAATGTTTTCTTCGTCTTAGCCTCGTTAACGAGAGTCCGTAACCACCGAACAACAAAAAACACGGTTGCGGCGTACACGTATTTTTCAGTACCGCGCGTTGCGTTCGAGTTCGTATCGATCGGTGTACTTACTCCGCCGATCAGCGAGAACGTCAGTGCCACGACGCCGGGCTCCCGGTCGGCGTTCTTCCGCCACAGCTGCCGCTTCGGTCTGGACGTCGAGTGCTCTTCGTTGTGCGGCTGTCGCGGCCGCTGCTCGACGTCCCACCGGTCGTCGGCCGTCGGCGGTGACGGCTGTTGCTGCTGCTGGTGCCACCGGTGCAGGTGGTCGGCCGCGCGCTGCTGATGGCCCGGGAAATCGGCCGCCGCGTCGGCCACCGGCACCAGCGACGTGACGGTCAGCACCGCGGTGAACGACAGCACCACCGCGAGCAGAGCGGCCATCAGCACGAGTACGGCCGCGGAGGCGGAGGCGATGAACGCCGCGGCCTCGGACGGCGGCTCGCAGATGTCGGTGTTGTCGGCGGCGGTGGTGGTGGTGACGATTCTTTTGGGCGCCGTTTTCGTGTGATGCCCGACCGTGATCGGGTCGTCCGCCGATGGGACGGCTGCGTAGCAACAGATCAAGCAGCAACAGGTGGTGGTGTTGCCGGTGGTCGTCGGTTTTCTTCCGCCGCGATCGAACACGTTGCTGCGGCGCGGAAAATAGCGGATAAAAAAAGTGGAAAAAAAAAAAAAAAAAAAAATTAGTCAAATCAAATACGCAGCAATGACATTGTCGCACGAAATATTATCGTAATAACTATTGTCATTGTTTATTGTTGTTTCGACGTACAAGTCACTCTAAGCGCGTAACACGGATACGGAACACCGAACCGTAAAAAAAGCAGCAGTAGCAGCAGCGACGAGTCGTTGGCGTGCACTGTTACGCTACACCACGCACGGTACCGATGGATCCCGTGTCCTGTCCAAACCATAATCGTATTTCCGTACGTAACAACGGCGATGTACACCGCGGTAATCGCGCGATGGGAACGTCACGTAACCGACGTACGCGCACGATAACCGACCGGATAATAAAAATACCCGTGAAATCTGCCGTAGCGATGCGGTATAGGTATGTTACCTCTGCTCGTCGTCTGCTACGATCGTGCCACGCTGCGGGTGGGTCGTTGGTGGGCGCGGGAGAGCACCGTTTACGCGATCGTCGATCCAGAAGCCGGTGGATACCGATTAATCGAAAATTACGAAACCCGCGCCCTCGAATGACGTGCACCTTAGGTATGGCAGGGCAGATGCAGCAGAACTAGGAGTCTGTACGCCCAGCGAAACCGTTGAGATTACGTCCTGTCGTAGACTAAGAATTAAAGGCCCTTCCCTTTAATTTTTTTTTTCTAATAATTATCTCATTGTCATCAACAAAGTTAAAACTATTAAACTTTTAGTCAATAACATGTTATGTACACACCCTCTAAAATGTCGAGCCCGGCGATGAATCCACATTTTCCTCCCCGTAGTCCCACCCCTGGATATAGGTACGCGTATGTGTTTTTTTTCGGAAAAATGTGTATAAACGTTATGATAACGAATACGTAACGCTGCGTAGGCAGGCATACGATTCTGAACGTTTCGCGAGTGGTCTGATCACTAATCAGTCACGAGAAGGGCGTGAAATTAATTAGCTGTTTTTCGTATTTTTTTTTTTTTTTATTCACTTGTTCAATTCATCATACAGTATTCACAATGTACGATCAACAAATACATTTGTACGATTATCAATCTCTAAGCTCTCGCGTTGGATTCATTATATTATTTTATTGATCTGTAAGTGCGCGAATATATTGTTGTTATTATTATTATTATTGTGTATAACGTCGTAGTCGTTTATAATATAGAGCGCCGGTCGTCGGCCTCGCCACCGCTGCCATGACTTTCACTATTCTTTTTCGTCCGTTCTCGATTTCTCTCCCCACGATCTACTCGCATATAAATATATATACATGTATGTATATTAAGTACATGCATTTCGGTACCACCACACACCGCTCTTCGTCTAATGCAGTGTTATATCCGAGTAGCCTTATCCTACTTCCAGGTGTGTAACACAAGCACGTTTTACCATCAAAATAATACGTGATGTAATCTTTTTCCCTCTTCTCGACGGACGACCCACGCCCGAGTCCTTCGCCGGAGACGCTCAATGCTAATAACCGCACACGCACGCACGTGCATACACACACGCACACACACAAATCGACATTCCACTCAGTTTTACGAGTGAACTGGCGGTTTTTTTTTTTTTATTAGCGATCAGTGCCGCAAGGACGACCACGACGTAATACTATTATACTCTCTTTGCATGCTTGCTCGTTTGTATAAAGCTATCTCAACGTAATAAACAAGCGCACGTGCGCGCCACCCGTAGGTACTATTGTGCCACGCAACATTGATAATAGCAATTATTGTTAGGTTTACAGTCTAGTGGCGAGGCAAATTCTATACAATTAGTTCGTCAATGAATTAAATACTAACAAATCGAATAAGCGTGGAATATAATCGGTCACGAGGCCGTCGTGAACGATCAGGTGGCCATGATTAAGTAACCGCGCTTAAACTATTAGATCATCATTATAGTACGCAGAGAAAAATGATCGATTTGTTGACCATGGTTAAAGTCTCTGCGAGAACAGTGGTTGCGGTACCGTTTACAGTACTCACTTATTGTGGTACGAGAAAATCGCGATTGTATATGTGCAATCATTTTAATGTGTACTCAAGACATTTATAGATAAATGCGAGTGTGTCTGAGCATAGGTATTCTGCTTTTTTTCGCCATTTGTATACAATTTGGGTGATGTCGGTGGTTCGGGCTCATGTTTTGTTTTTAAACAATATTAAATTCCAAATACGCCGCCATCACCTCATATACTATATTTAATCTTACGTTTAATTAAATATACGTATGTATTATAAATAAATATTAATAATAATAATAAAAATAATAACAATAATAAATAATTTGAAAAAATTAATGAGATTCACTGATTATGAGAAATGCTCTAAGACATAATTATACCCATTTTGTTAAATCAAAATTGTCAACAACTATTATCGTTTAGAGATTAAACTATAAAAAATAAACATTTGTCAAAAGGGTTTGTGAATATTTTTTATGACATAATATTTTAACGACCGAAAATTAAATAAATTATGTTATACAGCCGTCATATTGTTATTGTATGAGTTTTTTTTTTTTTTTTTGTAGCGTCATAATAATATTTATAAATACGACATGATGAGTCGTTTCAAATGTTAAGAAATTCAATTTCACGAGATTTTAAACATTGAAAACGTGACTTATCCTTCTTATCCTCGGTTACCCAAAAGTAAGATTGGCCATTTTCTACCTAAACATAACGACTTTACACCAACAGTTGAGGACTTGAATACACTTAAGAGCGCTCTGCACCTACTCAAACTTCGTCCTTCACGTCGCATCACTGTTCCCAGTACGGATACGGTTGAAACCGTTTTTAATGGCATTCGAACGGTTAAGTACGCGTAAGCAGTATATCGCGGGTCAATCCGTAAATCGGTTTTTTAACTTAGCCCACCTGCACGTGGTCCTCTACAACGTTCCCCTGTAATGTGCCGTTACGAACAGTTCCATCGGTACACGGCACGTGAATTGTTTATAGCGTTTACAAGCATTGCGACCGATACCTCGAATACCGGTAGGAATGTTAAACCATAGATACCTGTTGATGTCGGTGGTGCGCTCGGGAACGGTACCAGGGACGGTGGCCGCGGCCGGCAGCGGTTCGGCACCGGTGGCACAGTCGGGCCGATCGTCCCGGGCCGTTGATTGCTATAAGCGGCTGCCGGTGCTCCGGTGCTGTTGGTGCTCGTGACGGCGGTGCCGGTGGCGCGGGAGAACGGACGGGTCCGAATTCGGGTTACGTTCGATCAGCGACAGCGACTCGGCGCCGGTGTTGGTGTGGCGGTGGACCGCTGACATGACGGGGCGCGCGGGTACGCACGTTTTGGACGAGGCGGTGGTCTCGCGGACAGCGATACGGGTGACACGGGCGACAAGCGATGAGCGATAGCGGTGCGCTGCGGATAGCGGGCGGTAAAGCACTGCTCGGCGGATTTCGGCAGCGCGCGTCACTGGACGGTTGGTCGGACGCCTCCACCCGGTCTCTTCGAACGCGTGCCGCGGCAGCGCGAGGAGTGGGCACGATACGGGGCGGAGGGGGGGCACTAGTGGTGGTTCAGGCGCGCGGCGGAACGTGCAACAACAGTTGTGATACCGCGCGGTGCGTACGACGCGTAAACGTACACGTACGCGCACGGAAGTGACGGGACGGCGAAGGACTTTTCGGGCGGCCGTCACCGCGGAAAAAACGGTCCCGTTGAATGACGGACGGTGGCCGGCACTGCTGTGCCTGCTCCGACCCGGTGCCGCTGTCGTGCCGGAGAAATGCCGAATGATTGCGCGTGGGTCTCGGGCTCGAAGAGAGGAGACTGAAAGGAAAAGTACAAGACCGCGCACGGGTAACGCTGTAACGCGCGCGGCGACGCGGTGTTCGGCTGCGTAAAACACGTCGGTACGTACGTACTGTAAAAGTACGGGATCGGTCGCACCGGGGAGCGGTCACACGAATAACGCGCGTTAAGTTATAGTGCACGCGAATACGGACGTTTAAAAGAATTGCACGCTACGCGATTCGAACGTGTACTTGTCAATCGGTTTGTTCGCGCCCGGTCTCGTTCGAACGCGCTGAAACGTGCATGCTTAATTTTGAACGTTCCATAACTATAGTTGAACAATAATTTCCCAACGTGTTTACAATGCATTTTCGTTTTCGATAACAAACGGACTGTTCGGACAGTATTTATTTTTTTGTTCACTCATAATTAGTGCCTACAGTCTTGTGCAGCCTCCGTACAAATCGTATTCATTTATATTATTAAGATGTTTGACACGGAAGAATAATACGATGATACTTAAAAATCTCTTCTGGGCGACTTCGTAGGGTCATAAATGTCATCAGAAACTGACCATTTTTTTGGTCTTCATAGATTAACCGGATTGACCCTATGCCGCCTTTTTATTGTTCTTTGTTTTCGTTCATGTTCTTCGTTTAGTGCGAACATAACAAATGGGACTTATATATCGTTTGAACTTTTCGTATTTAAAAATATTAAACGAAATAGCAGTACGCGAAGCACTATGATGTACAGTAACAACAATGCTAGTGTTATATCACGAAACACTGAGTATTGGTGCGCTGATCTTTGAGAAACGCGCGTAGACGCGCCTAATGCGTAGTAAACGAAGCACGTTTGCGTTTTAAAATCGCGGCGTTCGAAACACGGAGAGACGCGCGTTCGAGTCGCTCAGCTTGAATTTCATGCACGTATTATCGCTTCGACGGACGCCAAACATGAGCGCACGCCCAAATTAGATTTGTATCGTTTCGAACGTGAACGTCGAACCATGTGCACGGACGCGTCTTTTATGCGCACACTGGTAATTTCTGGTCGAACATCATTTTTCAATTAACAATAAACGTTCGTCGATCGGAAGCAGTAACAGCAATTTTCACGGAGTTCGTCGTACGACTTCACGTAACGACCATTCGACAGTATACATCGGACGAACGCATCGTAACCCACTTTTAGCCCGTCTCCGTTCGTATTCGGAAAAAACCTTTCGAGAGTACCTACTGCACGCTATACACGTTTCTGGTACCGAGCAGACGCAAGACTCGGTGATAACGCAGCACTTCGAACGCGCGTCATGTTGATGGTCGGGTACGCGTTCGGTACGCGCGTCAAAAAATACGTCCGTTCAAACGCGCGCGCGGTCCCAGCCGGTTGCGGTTCGGTTGTTACTCGTTCGCGATGAAGTAACGCACCCGGAGTAAACGTGGGACGGGCGCGCGTCCGTTCACCCGGCGGCAGAAAAACAACGCGGATTGCATCACAGCCGCCGCGAACCGGTCGCCGGACGGTAACAATCGCCGTAACGACGCGCTGCGCTGTTGCAATACGGTGCGCGTTAAAGTGGGTCAGACCGGACGGCGCGCGCGAGAGATGACCGACGCGCGTCCGCTTCGGTCCGGTCCGCGATCGCGGGTCATTGTCGCGTTTGCGGCGCGCGGATCGCCGTCGCGGTTGGTCCCGCGGCGTCCGCGATAACGTCGAGGCGATGCGCACGTCTAAGGGACCGACGCGGCGCGATTTAATTTTGGCCGCGTAGGTGCTACTACTAGTGCGCTTGTTTTCGAACGTAAAGGATTCCTACGATCGCGGTAGAACGTATGGTTTCTACGTCGTCTCCGACCGAGTTTAATGTATAGTCAAATCGATCCCGACTCGGTTTAAAAAAAAATCCCCCGAGTCCGGTTTCATCTCCCCGTAAATGTTTTTCTTCCGGGACACTGAGAATTTCCTTTTCGGTTTTCCTGGCAAAGTACATTTTATGCACTTCGTTTTTAGTGTTAGTGTGTATTTCACCGTTTCTTTGGTTCTACGTCTACTTCTTGTAAAAAAAATAGATTGAATATTATTTTTCGTTATTTAGTTGAATACATTATCCGTTAACTTTTTCAAAGAACTTGTGCGGACACACGGTACACATGCAAACGTTCCAAATTGATCACTTGAGTAAGTACACCACAATTGTCTATAAAATCGATCTCGCGGTCAAGAATTCTAGTCAGTAAAGACGCGTACGTAACATTCTACGTTTGATCGCGTGGCCGACGTCTAAATCGCACGGTATTTATGTAAATTCACAACGGGAGGGATTCGAGTTGAAGGGATAAATGGGGGTTGCCGGCGTAAAACGTCCGTTCTTCCTGCAGAACTGTTACATTTACATTTCGCGCGCTTTCGTTCTCCGGACAGCGTATCCGTATCTCACAAAGAACCAGTTGCACACAATACCTGATTACTGCAACACGTCTAACCGAATTAAAAAATGATTATTGTAATTATATACCGTATTGGCTGTCGTGTAAGTCACACTTAGACGTATAAAACAGGTATTTCGACGGTAGTCCAATTCTCCGACAGCTAAACGAGTAAAGATACTTATAGTACACGTCTTATTTTTGTTTCTTTTTCTGGTGACCACGATAACGAGTATCGCGCAGAAAAATTACCGAAATGAGGTACCTCAGGTTTCGATTTATGAACAACTGACCACATTAACGAGTACTGAATTTTATAGTGTGAATTGTCCGTTACCTATATGAATGTTTTATATTACTTCACACCTGATTATGATAACGAGTAATGGATGAAAAAAGTAGTATAGTATCGTCTTAATATCCCTTTTTTAAATTGAATGTTCAAAATAAGAAAATTACTAAAAACTTTCTAAAATGTTTTCCAAGTTTATAAAAAATTAAATTTTGAAGAGATTTCGACCAATTTCCGTTAAACGATATTAGTACCAGTAATTTAGTTTATATTATATTAATTTATATTATCATAGGTAAATCATAAATCATAACTCATTACTAAATAATTGACCAAAATTTGTTAAGATAAATACGAGTATATGTGTATAATAAATGTTATCTACATGATAAGATTATGTTAAAATTTAATAACCTTTTTGGCTACAAAAGTTGTATATTAGGTATAAAAGCAATAATTTATTGCTGCGATTGTAAGACACTGTTAATATTACATGTATATAACCAAGCATATAGATAAACACTATTTTATATAATATTCCGATTTATTGCAATAGCCATTATGCCTAACCGTGTCTATGTGTCTTTTTTTTCTAAAACTTACATTAGCTCTAAAAAATAACGAAAAATGTTCTAAAACAAATATACAAAAAGGCTAACCATCTTGTATAGCTATATTATCACTTTATTTTTCCTACAAATGCTGTGCATACATTCAGAGTACATAACAGCTACATAATAGTTTCGTATTATGTGAAAAAAAAAGTATAATGCAGTTTTCATGTGCTTCGTTTGTACGGAAGAAGTTCGTCTTACTCCCATATTATATTACACACGACCGAAAATCAGTACTCTTCGAATGTTGTGTTCCGTAAGCGAGGAAAGCTTTCACATGCATCTCGATTTTTTTTATAACGTTATTTTTTATGGTTGTAGCCGTGGCGCTGAAAACGTATAAAACAATAACCATGGTTATTATCCGTAACCACGCGTAAGTCATCGTAATAATATTACAACCAATGATTAATAAAAACCACATTAGTGGATATTTTAAATTAAGCAACGTTTCTATGACTCCGTTTTTACGATTGGGCATCCAACATTTTTTTGTATTTCATAATTATTATACAATATATTGATTCATTTGTGGTAAAAAAAAAATAAAAAAATATTAGTATTTCACAACGCGTCTTAGTCGCAACGTAGTGAATTTTTTGATTTATCTGTAATTCTTATAAGATTAAAAACCGTTGCCGTACTATAATCATTACTACCCTTATTAAGTCGATTACTAAAACCGGAAAGTTCTCATACTGCCGGGACTTAATTTGGGTGGATCACCACCTAACTACTACTCGGTAATTATTACCATTGTCACGTCTGTGTGATCATCATACCAATTCAGTACTTTCTTTTAGCCAAACGGTTACTGCTTGTCTTGGTTACAAGCTAAAAAATCGCAAAAATAAAAACTGTACATATATTTATATATTTATTTATAACTATATTAAACAGACATTGTCCTTATACACTATTGTTTACTATACAACTGTCATAACATCAATAATTAAATAGATAGGTACACAATACAAAATATATAACAATAATCATAGTACATATTTAATACAGATTAGATATAAACTAAATGAATACAATATGAAGAAAATACAAGTATGCCTGCAATCATTAATAGATTAGCAGTACTATTTAACATATTTATACATAATGTTATTTTTTTGCTGATATAGCCTATTTCATTCTTACCATTATATTAATTGTTATAATTATCATATAAATTATTACT